CCAGGGCCACTCCCAGCACATCAAACTGCCTCCACATCAAACTGGGGCACCAAGGGACGCGCCACACACAGGCAGGGCCACAACAACAGAAACTCCTACTGAAACAGGACTGGGAGTTTGTGACTATGCTGGTTACAATCTGTAATAATGCGATGTTATTCTTCATTCTGCTGACAAGTTCCAGGCTGGTATTTACTAATAGATACAGAGCTGCATGTGAACAACAGTCGTGTGACTCCAACATAATGAAGACTTACACTGTCAGTATTCTACTCGCACTATCTGCAACTTAATTGCCACTTGTTACTGTGGCTGGTAGTTCCTATACTGAGTCTGTTTAATTAAACGTTGTATATGCATCATTAGCAAAACTTTTAGAATTTTAAAATTAATTTTGGATTGTGTCTTGTTCACATTTATTATTCATTAAAGCACATAAAGGATCTCAAAAACCTTCTTTATATGTATTCCCTAAACATATATAAACACATTAGCATAGGAAAGGAATGTGTAAATACACATAATATAATTAGCACTTTCACTAATGTGTGGTTGTACCTTTCATACCTTATAACTGCCACTAGAAAACAGAGTACAAAGCATAATTAGAATCTGTCAGAACTAACAATGTCACAAATCCTATTTATATGTTATTGATAAAGTTTAACACTATTAATATATTAATATATTAATGTTGACAGTTTTTGCAATCTCACTTGAGTCTAAGAATAAGCTAGGTTATTTTCAGTTGTTAATTTTTAATCAGCTCCATGTTTTCACAAATTAGGCCAATTATTCTCAGCAGAAAACAGCATTAATTAAAATATTTATTAATAATAATAATGTTTGTAAAAATCTATTTCTTAATAAAATATAGGCACTAGGCATAAATTAACCCAAAAAGTTTCCACGCATGCAAATTACTTATCTCCATGGTTACATTAGCTAATAGACTGATGTTTTATATAACATATATGCACCAGAACATTAATCTACTATTGAACAAAGCAGCAAATCTGTGTCTTTATGACCAAACATGTGCTATTGTTGGATGCTGGCAACACAACCTCTTGTCACAGCTGAGAAACACCAGCGATTCGGAGGGATCTGAGAAGCACCCTTGAGTGATGGGTACAGCAGCCTGCTGGGCATCCAGAGGCACAAGCTCCCCAAAGTGGCCCCTCCAAGTCTCCAGTGCTACAACTCATCCCCCTCAATTTCCATTTCAAACTCTTCCATTGAACACTTCAAGGATATTTTCACTTTTCTACATGAAGTGTGCAGGCCTGTTTATCTGTTAATGTTTAAGATTTTCCTAACAAAAATTGTGAGCCACCCTTGCCATTTGGAGTGGAAATCACAGACCCTGCCATTCCCATCACTGTGTTAATGAAGAATGTTAGAATAAGTGTTCTTAATTTGGAATCTATAGAAATGGTTGTGTGCAGTTTCACAGTCAGTGATTTAAGAGTATTTTAAGTTTACAGGATGACAGAAATATCAGTAAGGTCTAAAGGAATGAAATCTCTACCACTTCCCAGGGGTAGTTAAGTGTCAGGGTTTTGACAGTAACTAGGTAGCTGCCAGCTCCTCCAAAATCACCTTGTGCACTTTGTACTTCTGAGAATGCTCTCCTATTACTGTCTTCAGGCTTCACAGTAGTCCCAATTGCTCCAGCAATGTATTCAAAAACAAAATCCGAGCATTTATTTGTAAAATAAAGGATTTTTATTTGACTTCTCTCAAAATTTCTCCTGGCAATTTAATATTAATTAAAATCTGTTGAGCCATATGGTGGCTTTTCTTTTCTTAACAAACATTATGACTTTCATATTTTCTACCATGTTTTTTTCCGTTTTTGCCATAACAAACAACAAAGCTTAGAGAGATCATAGCACACAGACATCACTGGTTCAAATAGTAATGCAGCCACAGAGACAGACCAAAAGGGAACACAAAAGAAAAATGTTTTCAAAGCATTTTAAGCAAGTGAACCTTGTGCGATTATCTATGCCCTGCAACAAAACAGATTTTCACATTCACGAACAGAGCAGAGTCAGAGGAGATCATGGATCCTGGCACTCACCTGTTTCTGAGCTGCAAAGAACTTGTCTTTATATGCATGGTACAGAATTACACATTAATGCTTTCTGTGCCACCCAGCACTGCATTTTTTAAGCTGCAGTGTAACTGAGCAATAAGGATCACACACTGCTTGCAGATTAGGACTAGATGGAGAGAGAAACAATCTCACTGAAGCTTCTTGTGAAGAGTGGGAGCAAAGGCAGAGTTTACACCTGTGGAAGCAGAGCACTTGTGGGTGTGCCTTGGGCTGAACCATACTTGATTTCCTCACGCAGGAGGAGCCCCTGGCAGCCTCTCTGTCCCTGCACACCTCTCCCTCCATCTCTGCTCTGCACTGACTGCTGCTCTGCCAGCTTCCTCCCTGAACAGTGCCAAGCGATTTAGCCCCTGCTAAGGAAAAGGGCACAAGCTGGATCCATCTGGCTTTACTGGATCGCTAAAATCCTGCCAAAATGTGACATCAACATGCCATTGCATCAACAAATTGTGCAACGAATGCACCTGCTTCAGATGCATTAGGAAGATGCCTGTAACACGCTACGCTATTAATCTCTAGCATTTGGATCTTGACAAATTCTGCCAATGTTTGTCCTGCACTCACAAATAACATAGCATGAATAACCATTGCTAAATTAACGACTCTTCTACTATAGGTGTGATTTTCATGCCCTGTAGAAAAAATTTAAGTCACAATGCATATACTTAGATTTAGAGAAAGGAGATATTGCTACACACTGGCATTGACAAATTTCCCCCAGTTTTCCCCCAAGAAAAACACAAGAGCCTCAGACTTAAAACAACAATAGCAATAAAAAAACAGTAAGAAAATGATATTTTCAAGTGCCTTAGAAATATTCTGCTACTACAGAAAACCTGCACACTGACAGAGGAATGGACACTCTGGATCTACTGCAGTCAGAGTGAAAAATTGCACCTTCAAGATTACTAAAAGCTTAAGAGTCTAATAAATCTCAACAAACAGCAAAGACATCAAGGCTCCAAGTTTAAATAGGACTTGGTTGTTTTCACCTAGATCTAAACTTATAAATTGAGCACAAAGGCAGCCAAATATTTAGATCCGAAAAATCTGTTCTCCACATTGTGTATTTTAAGTGAAACTATGATAATTCAAATCTGATACTTTCACCTATCTAAGTGCAGCCACCCTTTGTGAAGTTTTACAGTAATACATGTCTAACATGTATGGACAATCCCAAAGACGTATGTTAAGCTCATCAGCTCTTAATTGAGGTTTTCAAAGCAGCTTAAGGGATTTAGGCAAAAAAAAATTTCATTTCTTCTTTCCTTTTATCACCAATACACGGCTAAACTCCTCGGCTCCTCTGAAAATCTCAGTGAGCTGGATACGTATTCACTGGATGTAAGAGAACTGTCACTTTTGCTATCTATCTAAAAGATAAAACTCTTAAGCCTAAGTGAAAAAAATAATTGGATAGATTTTGCTTATGCCATCACTGAAGACTTTAAGAACTCATGTTCTGCAAAAACCCATTTTTTTAGCTGAATGGGAACACTTCAAAAAGGCATTTTTAGTCAGCTGAAATGAGAGCTGTGATGATACAAATGTGCTGGTTTCAGGAATAAGAAATCTGTTTTGCATTGCTCTAGTACAGGAGCATGCTTAAGGTTGGATTGCTCCAGTCTATCAAAAGCATCATAAAGTTTTGTGTAGTTTAATAGAGAAACTTGAAGCTCAGAGACAAGAAATTACACAATCTAGCAAATTCCAGGCGCTGGAGGTTTTCTGTGCTACTGAATATAGACACACCGGCTAGGACAGAAATTACGATGAAATTGAAGCTGCTCCTTTTAGCAGATTGGGAGTTTCAGGTTTGAGGTGGCGAAGTAGAGAAAAAAGCTGGATCCAAGACGATGCAGGTGTCTCCTTCAGGATTTAGCCAGGCCTGTTGTGCCAGTTTACAAGGTCAGAATCTTGCACGTACGGGCCGGTGCCAGATTTTTGCCTATATAACAGCGTCTTTGGCAAGCGTTGAAAAACGCTACTAAGCGGTACTACCAAGCCAGAACAAGAGTCTCCTGATATTTTCTGGGAATCACAAGAGATCACGTTCGCTCTTCATACGCAGAGCACAAGGTAGGGCCCGGTCCTTTTGCTGAAACCCGGTTAATTGCGGCCGGGAGCGCGGGCAGCGACCATTCCCGGGATGCGCCCGCGCCGGAGCCGCTCGCTGCGCGCCCCCTCCGCTCCCGCGCGGGGGGCGAAACTCGCCACCGCGGGGGCTCCGCTGCCACATCCAGGCTTTGCCGAGTCCTGCCTCCGGGACGCTCCGATTTTTGCTGTTATGCTTAGCAGGTTTTTTTTTGGTTTTTTTTGGTTTTTTTTCCGGGTTTGTTTGTGGTTTTTTTTTTTTTTTTCTTTTAATGACTGCAGCGGGAGCCGCCAGCCGTGGCGGGGCGGTGGGGCCGGGGCACGGCGGCTCCAGCGGGACCCCAGCGGGCTCCGCCCGGCGGCCGCGGGGCTCCGCGCGTTCCCTGGATGCTGCGCGCTCGCCCTGCGGAGGGAGAGAGGGAGGGGAGAAGGGAGGAGAGAA